GTAGAACCTGGTGTGATGTTGGCACTTTACCTGATCTGGTTGTAATGTTGGGACACCTGTACTTCCCTGAACATATTGTCCTGAGGCTGGAGGGGGGGGGGAGATAAAGTTTTTGAGACGTAAGTTCTTTTATGATGTTGATCACATATTAGGAGTCAATTGTGTTTATATGTTGTTTGTGACCGCTCCTTCCCTGCCCGTCTTTGTTTGTATTCGTTTTGATCAGATGGTCCAAATACAGGATCAGGAAAAGTTATCAGGTTGCAAGTGCATGTGTTACGTTGAAGAACATGTGCAACATTCTTAACAATTTTAATGAAATACAAGTCACAATTTGCGGATTCTGAGAAAAGAATGAAACGTATTGCAAAAATAGTGGATAATATTTCTTTCCGCCGTGAATGACAAGGCGACGTTTAAATTTTGGCGCCATGCTGCCAATAGCCTAACCACCGCCTGTCACATCATTCATATCCAGATTTGGGCAAGCTGTTACATCATCAGTCACCTGAAAGTGTGTTTTAATGGCAGAGTTGCCTACTGGTATGTTACTAGGTTATATATATAGACTTTATTGGTAACAATATGTGTGTGTGAGTATGTACTCACCTATTTGTGCTTGCGAGGGATGAGCTCTGGCTCTTTGGTCCCGCCTCTCAAGTGTCAATCAACTGGTGTACAGGTTCCTGAGCCTATTGGACTATCATATCTACACTTGAAACTGTCTATGGAGTCGGCCTCCACCATCACTGCCTAATGCATTCCATTTGTCAACTTGTGTGTGTGTGTGTGTGGGTGGGTGGGGGCAGTATCCAAAGTATAATTAAAGTTGCCTAAAGTTGCAAATTATAATGGCTGTTAATATTATTATGCAGCGTGTGGGGGGATGTGTGAAACAAGTATTTGTATTGCTTGTGTGATATTAATACGAGACATGCACGTACAGTATCTACAGTGTATGGGTTAAACTGATAATAAACGACACACATTTGGTGCCAGGGATGGTGTTAGTGGCATGTTTGCAAGGCAATCTTCTGAATTTGGAAACTGAGGTGATAATGCATCGTTACTTAAAATATGTTATTTTTTCAACATTAAAACTACTATCATTTGTCAGAAAATCTTCAATGCATCGTCGTTTAGTATAAGTCTTAAGTTTTTGTTTTTTAGTTTTTTTTTCGTGACAAGCACAGATACAATAATATACAGAGCCACACGTGAGGGTAACAGGAGTTAGTTCACATGGAGAAAGGGACCGTGGCAACACCCTGGACCCCGGTAATCCCACCAATTGGCTACATGGAGAACGATTGGCGGATTGTACGGGGGAAAATTTAATGATCTAGCCGGTTCCAGTACTTGGCCCGAGGTCTAAATAATATACATTAATAAATGTGGAGATGTACACCTGAGAAGTACACAAGGGGACACATTGTACATGGAAAGGCAGACGAGAGAGAGAGAGAGAGATGGGAGGTGGAGAGTTAGAGGTAGGAAGCACACACTGGGAGAAACAGGAGGACCCGTAAGGGGAGGCTGGGCCCCGGACACCACCAGGGATCAATATATAAGTTCCGGTGCTGAGGCAAGGCCTCTCAAGGGAGGCGGCCAGTCTCCACCCCGCCCTCCTCTACCTGCTGCACGGGATGCTCCCGCACCTCACTTACTACCACTTTTTATCACGCTAATACATGTCTTAAATATTGATTTGTTTAACGGCGGTATTGAGGTTATTACAGATGGGGGTAATTAGTGATGGGTTATTACCAATGGGTTTTTATAAAGCGAATGAAAAGGTATAATTTAACAAAAAGAAATTATTATAAGATAATCCTGTGATAAAAGTTTGTAATTTAATTACCGATATAAAAGGTAATTACTAATTAATTATTAATATTAACCATAATAACCATTATTATATTACTAATAAGCAATGTGTGTCAGTTATTTCATAAAAGTATGGAAACAATTTGTAATTCGCTGCAGCTGATGAAAATACCTGTCTAGTAATATAAAATGTAACCAATGCCGTGGGAGGGAGTTCAGATTTCCCGTACTTGGTATCATGATCAATAATTGGTAGAGGTAGCCTAGTGAGCGGCAATGTAGTGCAACGGCTGCTTGAAATTTGGCAATAACTGGGAAAACTTTATTGAATGTAGGCGACCAACAACGAGCTCACGAAGCCCATATTACTGTTACTACATAGAAATTAGGTCAGTATGTTGCGTATGGTTGTAAGAGAGAGCTTGAGAAGGGCGAGATGGGTGAAGGTGTCAATGTGGAGGTTCAGTCAAGAGAACTGGTCTTGAGGACACGTCGGCTGCAGGAATCACTACCACCGGTAAAACCAATGACTGGCCACCAAGATTCCTGAGTCACCTCCCAAGCATAACTTAGTGAACCCGCTACACCATTAGCATGGATATGGCAATCAACAGTCGGTGGGCGCTGTCATGTTTGTTCATCGTTGTTGAGCCATAATGATAAGAGAATAGAAACATCATATACAAATCTTTAAGAAGGATTTGCAACAATCGAGAAATTAGGTAAACATAAGGAATAACTGTAGGTGCCTTCAACTTCCTAAATACTAGCAGTCTATATCAGGCACCTCAGATCTGAGCCTTTCGACTTGATATGAAACAAGTAAACTTTGTTCATAGTGGCAATATTTAGGAGTCTTATAATGTAGGACGATTGGACCGTTAAGTACGTTATTTCGTGAAATTTTATTTAACGATTTCAGTACTGTACCTATAATTTCATATATGTAGGCTGCACCATTTTACTATTCGATACAATTGATTATGCCATGAAAACAATATTTGCAACATTTGCCATGACAGAAAGCATGTGTCACGACCCTTGAGACTAAATAATGTTCTTCTCCCCACAGTGTAAAGAACAAATAAAAATCTGCCATGCCAATAGGTGTCTAGGGGTATAATTAATCACTATAAAAACGGGAGAACAATATATTTTGCTAAGGGTGACAACTTAACAACAATTAAATAAATAGTAGCCAGAAATATTTATCAGCATGTAATACTATAGAATGCAAGTAATTATTTGAGACCTGAGCACTATCACCAGAATATGGAGTAAGCCATAAATACACTAAAATCGTCTATCCAGATAAATTAATATTTATATGGGCTTAAAATAACAAAAACCAAGAACTTAGCTTAAACACAACTGCACTCGACCGCAGCTGCCACTCTACTGCCCAGGACGTGGTTCGCAGGCCCAACGTCGACTAACCGTCTACCCAAACACCAATTAATGTTCGCATGAACATTGTGAACATTCTATTTACAAAGGTCAGCTCTAAACTCCAACATTATTAACTAAGAGTTGTAATTACTGGTCTAACATTCCTTGAAATATTACGGCTACCAAATATGGGAATAAATAAATATAAAACTATAGGCAATTGATTTGCCAACAATCGCCCTGGCCATTCCCAAATATTGTCAACCGCCCACACGGCTAATTTCACGTGACATCCACCACCAAAACAAACCTTACACACACTACCCAGCTATCTATGTTATATATATATAATGTATATATATCTATATACAAAAATCTTATACAACTGACAGCAATATTTATGTAGAGAAAACAATAACATAATACGAGGTTCGGGAGAATTGGCAGAATCGTAATAAGATTTGTGACAGCATGTTAAAAACATGAAAGTTGAGAAAGGGATTATCATAAGTTTAGAATACACTGAATTACAGTTGTTATGCTCTCGTGCTTTCTGGTCGATATGTAAAAACCTTCTAAAACCACGAAATTGGTACAAACCCACAGGCCAGTCAGGGTGTATGAGCAGACAGCATCAAGACTGGCCGCCTCTCGGCAAACTCAGCTGTCACTTTCCAGTGTGGTAATCAGAACGCGACACGGGCGGGAGCCTCACACCTCTCCTGCCACCAACCCTTTCATTCTTCTTGTCACAGCGTCACCACCTCTTATTTCCTAACAACTTTTCCACCGCCACCATTGCTCTTAAAATAATATGCAACGCGTTCCATGGCTTTGATTTTTGTGTTTTGTAGTTTACTATTTAAGTATTCCATGAAGGGATTCTTATATTTTCACATTTATTTGTATTTAATTTTTTAATTTTGGGGCTGTGCGATATCTGCAGTACGCTTTCCGTTTAGTCCAGCAGGGAAGATACGTATTTTTACTGGACCATGTAGCCCCCTCCTAATAGATATTAAAACCATTTTAAAAAATAATCCGAGAGGGGTGGGGGGGGGGGAGAGAAGCGATCTTACTTGCTGGTTGTTGAGGGATTTGGCTTCTGTAGAATGTTAACACTCATCCCCATGATCCAAGTAGCATAGTCTTAGTTAAACATGATACAAGGCTTTATCCAATATAGTCCGTTATGTATTTTTTCTTTTAGCAAGGACGGCTGAAGATATTGAATTTATACTTCGTATGTCTGTCTTAGAAAGGTCTCATATCTTATGCAAGTTTCCATAATCGTAACTACAAAAGTTTTAGTTTTTTCATAATTTCAGTGATTGGGTGCGCTTTCTGCATCAGATCAAAATACGATTTCAAAGAATTCTTTCAAAACTGTAATAACTTTTACTCACTGATTGTACTGTATAATTAGGTATAAATATATCAAGAGTTTAAGTTTCTTCGTTGGCTTGACAAGCAGGCCAACCAGTCATTAGCCTGTGTTCCAATATACAGTACAAGGGCATGTGTTCGTTACACCATCTTGTAGTTATTACAGCAGTTTGTGCTCATTACAGCAGGTTGTACGGTACTCTTGATAACAGGTTATAATTTTTTTTCCTTATTCTAGACCGTACATTTTAAACCACTCTGTTCGTATTTTGAGGAAAGGCAACCTGGGGATGCCTGTCTTATTGGCCCTCCACCAGTTGAACCATATCTCATTAGCAAAATATATTGTTTTGTGAATATATGTAAGCACCGAAAATTTATTTAGGTATTTATTTCAGGAGAGCGGCCTTTTGAGTGCACATGGACAACTTGCTGTAAAAGATTTGCCCGCAGTGATGAATTGGCAAGACACACCAGAACTCACACAGGGGAGAAGAACTTTGTCTGCCCAGTATGTCAAAAACGATTCATGCGATCAGATCATCTCAGGTAATTTGGTTTTTAGCATTGTTCTTAATTTTTTAATTAATTATTAAGGTATTGAGTTAGATTTGAACATTTCCTTCATATCTTGCTAAACACATACAGTACAATACAGTACTACAATATTAAGCTCTTGATTTAATTTTAAAATATTAGTCAACTATTTTTTAATTAACATTGGAGTGAACAAGAAATGAACATGACATGAATGAAAAAATTTAAAAATTACCATTATAGTACAAGAACTTACTGGAACAGTATAGTATATGTATATTTTTTTTAATTGAGTGTCATTTGATTGGAAAGGGCCAAAACCAACAAATTTCAACACCATGTATAATAAAGTTGATTGGACACCACAATCAACCACATTGTAACTATAAATAGGCAAGATCAATGAGGTGAAATATCTAGACCGAATAAGATTTCTGACCCAGCATGGCTTTTGTATAGATAAATCACACTTAATGAATGCGCTGGAGTTTAATGACAAGTTGAAGACAATAAGACAAGGCAGAGAAGGATGGGCAGACTGCATACTTATAGACTGCCTAAAAGTCTCTGGTACAGTTCCACAAGAGATTTTATAAGAACTTGAGAAACAAGCAGGAGGAACTGGGAGAACACTGAACTGCATACAAGTTTTGTACCCACCAGACAGAAGGCAAAAAACTGCATGGGGAAGGACAACTTACACTAATAGGGTAGTGAGAGGAATCCCTCAGACATCTGCCTGAGAACCCATAATATTTCTGATATACTCTTATGTCAGTGATCTAACAATGGTGGTAATGTCATTCACAAACAATGAGAAGTATGACACAAAATTAATGAGAAGGGTCAGTACAGACTGCAGTATACAGCAGGAAGGCCAAGACAGGTTGCAAAGTAGGTCCAAGAAATGGCTACAGTATTAGAATTCAATACCCTGAAGGTGATGAAAATTGTGATAGATGACAAAACTAGTAGGACAATAACACAAAGGAGAACCACCACCTAGGAATTACTTAAAAAAAAAATGCATTCATAATACCAAGTCACATCCCAGAGGCATACATACTGTACTGTAAACATTATAACCTCAGCAGCAAATGCAAACCTTCCAAACATCAGAATAGCCTTCAGGACCCTTAATACAACACACTGCGGTGTATTAGTGTAATGTATTGGATAACGCCATTAATTTACGGTGCTGTTCTGCACGTTCTACTATGTTACTGGTCAAGTAAAGAATTTTTTCAGCTTGTAGATTTGGAACCAGTTACAGTATTCTAATATTTTTTTACATGTAGATTAATGAGTGAATTTGGAACAAAGTTCTCTATGTTCTCCAGGTCAGGAATTTTCTAGCTTTAAGTGAAACATTTAAAATGTAAATTTAGACAAGAACTTTCATTTTTTGTAATCCTTAGAGTTAAAGCAATAACTAGTCTCTGAATCTGTTTTTCAGCTCTATTAATGTATTTAAACTTGCCTATTCTGAGCAATATATCATACATAAAACATCTCATGACTCAAGCTCTGACATACTTGCATGTGCATTATTTGTTTATTCTTTTAATGGTTCATTTTTCTTTCCAGTAAACATGCTCGTCGTCACCCTGATTTTGATCCCTCACTTCTTCGGCAACGGCGTCATGCCCTTCCAGCACAGACCACCACCACCACCTCTCCTATTGTTACATCAGACAGTGAAGAACCAAGTTCACCTTGAGGTCTGTCTACCATAGGATGTGTACTCAAGCTGCTGCCGTCTCTGTGCCAGAAGCGGACCTTTTGCCGCACAGTACAAAGTGGCGTTATTTTTTCAGCGCTACAACCTCATGAGGGGTGTTGAGGCGTTTAAGTGGTGCAAGAGAGGACCAATATAGGATTGTTTTAAGTGATTTTGTGGTGTGATGTACGTTGAATCCACCCACTAAACGTTCAATCCACCCATTTTCATATTTGTAAATATTGTTTTTTCTTCAAAAGTTAATAGGCTCTACCCACTCAGGTCTGTGAGGCATACCACACAATACCTACAATTGCTCAGCATTACGTATTGAAGTGCAACATAATGTAATGGTGATGAGTGTCATGTATCATCTGTGCACATGCTTTCATCAGCTCAAAACAGATGTGATGTATATATATTTTACATGAAACAGTGAATGATGCTCTTTTTGATATATAATGTATTTTTAATTGTTCCATGACTTATGGGAGTGTATCACAGCTGTGTCTTGTAACTCAGATTCATATACATATCTTATAAATAGGTTCAAATTGTAATCATATGCACATGTATATGTATACCTATAATATCTATGTATTCCTCATGTATGAGTGTGTGTGTGTGTGTGTGTGATCCTCTATATCCATTTGAAGCACCACAGAAGGCCATTTGAGGATAAACCAGAGTCACTTTAGAGAAAGTGGTCCTGGTCAGAAATTTCTCACCTGGTCTCCAGAGAATACAGGGTTATTAGAGTATCAGAGGATGTCCTACCCTACCATGTACAAGATGTCTGTGTGATTTAGCCAGCTAAACAGCCCATGGAGTTTATGCCAGTAAGTTGTATGCTTTAGGTATACATACTGGATATATTCAAGGTATGCAAATGCTGACTATCACATGTTTCCTTTCCCAGGTCATATCAGTACATACAAGTTAATGTCAATATTCCATATACAATTTTATGAACAAAGTATTATGAACACTGCACAAAGTATTACAAATCTTGTTGGACTAACATTCATTCAAGTGTGTTCTTTACTGTGGCTGATTTTAAGGAAAATATTTTAGAATTTTTGTTTATAGAAAATAAATTGTTTTTGTGACACTTTGATATACTGATTATGACAGGTTGTAGTACTTTACCTGGTGCTATAAAGTGCCTTAGATGGTTGGAGCACCAATGTTCCCAGACTCAGCATCATCCCTGTGTGTAAGATGTTCAGTCAGTATCCTCTCTACATCAACTCACTTATTTCATCCTTTTCATCCGCTTTCCTTGTGTTAGTTAATGTAGTATCACCTTAATATGTGCATACTACCCAAGTATTCATATGTTTAATGTTAGGCATTATTTATCCATATATACTGTACTTCATGTATTCATGTTGTATCGCACATTAATATTATTTACATACCTCTCACTGCGTTCCTGTGATGGCACGCCACTTTTGAGATGTCGGACTGGAATGCTAATAAATTTCATGGGCAGCATTAAAGTGGCCAGTTTTCTTAGTAACTATTATGGCATTAGTTACTTGCCCATAAAGCACAATTGTCAGCTCTGCTCTTACCTTATATTTGAGGCCTTGGGAGGTAACTTAAGAAAAGCCCAGTACTATACTAAGATGAACTTTCCTGACTACAGATAAAATGTTGACAGCTTTTTGTATTAGAAATGGTATATTTTCTATTAAAACCTGTTATTGACTATACTATAGAGTGTTTACATAAATGAATGTGCAAACAGTATTTATATGTTTTATGATGATGGTGAAGTTTGATTGCTTTGATGTACTGTACCTCATTACATGTCAGCCATTTCCTTATACAGTTACCATGAAATAGTATTTTTGTTATTTACTAAAAGCTGTCACTTAACTGTTTACAAATTTATGCTCATTATTGCAATGTCCTATCTCAAACTTGAAGACAGCATGTGTGTGTGTGTCTAGTCACTACAGGGCCTACCATAAAAAACGTAAAGCAGAAAGCAAATGACTTTGTGATGCGTGTACTTAGTCACATGACATTTGGAATATTCCTTTACTCTTTAATTTGTTATAAACAGCTAAAGATACTTGCCTTTGTTTTATGGAATTTATGGATGTGAAGCCAGCGCAGTGTTTAACGATACAACCTCAACTGTAGTGCCATATAATAAAAAGTAAGGAGAGGGTTTACATGGCTAATGGCCAACTAGCTGAAGTTATCCTCACATGTATTAAAAAGTCTTGCCTACTACTGAAATTATCAAGAGTGGTTGGCTTAGAGCAATAGTTACTCTCATGATAAATTCCATAAATGTATCTGGTGCAATGACTGAGGATCATCCTAAAGAATATCTCAAAATTGTAGTTTTTCATAAAAATGACTTATAATAATGATATTTATTTCAAGGCAGCCATACATTAGGAACCTGAACAGTTCCACTTTTCCTCCATCTAGCACCTTCAGGATGAGCTATGCCAGACTTGAACAACCATATGTGATTTTCTGTATACCCTAAACAGATTTAGAGTACTTATTTTCAGTACTTAAATAATATTTAACATCAGTATAGTCAAACCTTTTTACACTAGTTCATATTTATACTGTACTACATGACTGGTAAAATATAATTAAGACAAATTAGACTAATGGTAACATTATAATGTTGCCATTGCTCTCATATGTATGTATGTTAATGAATTAAAATGTGGCCCAGTGCAGACGAGGGGACAAAAATGCTGGATTACTGAATGGCTTCTTTTACCTGCCCTGTGTTCCAAGGGTCTCAATTTAGTGTTATTTTTAATTTAATTTGTACAAAAGACATATTAGTGATTTTAATGCATTCATCTTTAATAATGGTTGTTCATTTATATTATGTGTTCAAAAATCAGGAAATTAAAAACAATAAAATTTCCTAATACTCTTATTCATTGACTTCGAGATATATATTTTATTCTGTACAGTCCATTGCAGTTCCTTCCAGTTGCTCTTCATATTCTATTCTTTATACTGTATTAGATTATCAGTTGATGAAATTTTTTACATTTTTTAAGACAAAATCTATTCCCACTACAGTCTACATAGTGATAAAGCAGTCATTGGTGACAACTGGAATGGTCTGAATGGTTGGTGGGCAACTGGAGTTATACATAGCAATGTCACTTGAAATATTTACAAATCACCAAAATACAAATATTTATTTACCACAAAAGGTGTTCCTTTTGTACTGTATTTTGCATGTAGCTGTTTAATGTAAAGCCAGTGATATATTACATTGACAAGTACACATCTCAAGGGAAATGTTGTGAATATATCAAGCGACTTGTTTATCTCCAGAACATAACCCCATCCCAATATTATCCTAAAAGTCTTTCATAATTCACTTTCCAGAGCGAATATTTTTGAGGGAAACTAATTGTGTCATCACGCCAAAAAATGGTTTGTTTCTTAACCCTGAAGATAATGTTGAAACAGTTGTGTAAATAAAGAGACATTATGTATTTATTGACTTTTAATCATCATGTCAAGTGTTGATAGTATTAATTAGGTATCTCAAAAGGAGAATTTATTGGTTAATTTTTTTAAATTTGTTGTTGTATATCCTATCAAAATTGTTTTGCATGTTGGCTTAAACCTTTCAAGACGTGTGAGTGTTGGTGAAAGAAAGATTTCCAATGCTATTGATCATTTAGCCCCTTGGCGGCACATTTTAGACTATTTTAAAAATCATTGGGATTGGGAGACCATAAGTGATTAGAAAATGAGCTCAATAAGTGTAACTGCTCCAAAATTTCTTCACATATGTCCTGATATAAGTGTAAACAATATTTATGAAGGTTTGCATTCATGTTTTATTTTTTAATTTTGTTAAGATTGGATATTCTTAAGAACATATTAAATTATTTGAAATATAAATGTCCCGAGACCACAAAGTTTTATCACAATTCCGATAGTTTTAATGTAATTTTTTAATTTCCAATAGTGACCAAGACAGTCTTCATAATTGCAATGAGCTGAGAAACCATATTTGCCAAACCATTTTTTAGCAATGAGATGAGCTCTGGAACAAGCGATTACCTCAGAATTGTTAGCAGTGTCACTCAGTGTTGTATAAATAAACACATTAAATCTTATACACGCAGAAATCACAATAGCACGATATATCAAAAGAATAAATCCACAAGGGCCATGATGAGGGTTCGAACTTACATCCAGGATGATCCCAGACATGCCTTAATCATGGGTTCATGGAGGAATTGTGTAAAACCCCGGTTTGTGTCTTTGAGAGACTGCGGGATCCGTGGGAGAGCCGTAGCAATCCCGGTTGCAATTCTTATACCATGTCGTCGCGCAGTCGATTAAGGCGCATCTGGGATCATCCTGGACGCAAGTTCAAACCCTCATCATGGCCCATGCGGATTTATACATTAAACCTTCAAACTTTGCCTAGCCCTTCGGCTTTGCATCATATCATATAATGGGTTACTTAAGTATGTTCAGACTGTGCATCAGATCATATGATGTAGTAGGGAACTGCCTAAGATTTGAAAGTCTTACACATGTATGGGGCTCACAGTTGCTTCCTCAGGCCTCCAGTAATAATCCCCCATTTTGAAAAAAAATCCAGAGTCCACTTTCCACTTTCCTTCTAGGGTCAAGAGGACCATATCTGGCATCACCACCATCCAGTGTGTGAATGTTCAGGGTGGCCATACTAGGAGCCACTCAACTTTTATCAATAGCAAATGAGTTATTACCATTATATATTTCAGGCAACATGTGTACTATGTACAATTTATACATATTCGTATGTATATGTAATAAATAGTCTTATATTATTATGAATACATGGTGTGTGTATATTTATACATATATATCTATACATCTGAACATACCTATATTTTAAAATGGATACATAACGAACCCCATCTTTGACATCAGTACAACTTGTCAGAACCAAAAAAATATATAAATAAAATGAGAAACAATGAAAATAAATCAATAAAAGTTATGCCCGTGTGGCACCATCTCATTTCTACTGAAAAACTTCTCCAATTAAACCACAAGAGATAAAGACTTTTCTTTCCTGAATGCTAATTAACAATGTCAGAAGAACAAATGATTTTTTCAGAGCAGTTTATTTTTTCCGCACCTAAATGTTGCATGCTAAAATCGCTTGAACAGCTGAAGGGCTAGACTGTGATACTAATTTTTTAAATGTTGTCATACAATATACATATCTGCTTTGTGGTTGAACTTCCACAAAGTTCAACTACTGAACATAATTGTAAACCATGGTTGTTTAATAAGCCTACCAATCCCCTCCTTCCAACCACCTGTTTCCTTCCCCCCTCCCACCACCACTACTTTTAAGTATGTACAGTTTACTTGAATATAATTAAGTTTTCTTTAATACACTACTGGGAACTTGACATGCCTTCGTTAGCAGATTCTTCCATGCCAGAATACAGTATATACAGTACAGTATTATACATATATTTAGGGGGCCTGATGGCTGAGTGGACAGAGCTCGGGGTTTGCAATCCTAAGGGTCCAGGTTCGATCCCCTGTGGAGGCAGAAACGAATGGGTAGAGTATCCTTCACCCTGATGAAGGTTAACCTAACAGTAAATAGGTACCTGGGAGTTAGACAGCTGCTACGGGCTGCTTCCTGGGTTTGTGTGTGTGTGAACTCAAATAGTTGTGCTTGCGGGGGTTGAGCTTCGGCTCTTTGGTTCCGTCTCTCAACTGGTGTACAGATTCCTGAGCCTACTGGGCTCTATCATATCTACATTTGAAACTGTGTATGGAATTAGCCTCCACCACATCACTGTCTAATACATTCCTATATGCATCATGCATTTTGAATGCATTGAAGAATGCAAAAACTTCTTTGACATCACTTTTTTTGTCGAGAGAGAGAGTGAGAGAGTGAGTGTGAGTGTGTGTGTGTGTGAAAATTAGGATTAAAGACTTGCTCAAAACACTATGCGTGCTAGTGGGTGTACAAGAATGTAAAAACTATTGTACAGTATATATATAAAAGAAAAACTACTTTGTGTATCTAACTCATATTAAACGTGTATTTTATGAAAAGACAATTAACAGAGCAAGTTATTATATAAATATTTGCTAAATAAATATTAACTGCTAATCACTTAACTAATTGAAGCCAATCAATTCTATGTCCATCACTCCAGCACCTTCGTTGCATAATTCCTTATGAAAACTTTATATACCTTTTGTGTCTAACTTGTACTAAATATGCAAAAAATGGAATGGGAATAAATATGCATTTTATGAAACGACAAATAATAATTAACATAGCTATTATATAAATACTTAAGTAAATATTAAATGCCATTAATTTAAACTAGGGGATGTGAATAGTTGCTGTGTTTTTCCATACCAAATTTTTTGCCAGTAGTAACTAAATATTGAAGATTTTGGCAATGATTTCTAATCTGCACTATATTGGAATATAGTGCAGATTTGAATGTAGTATAATACCTTCAGTATTTTTTATAAAGTACATTATTGTACCTAAAGTAATTAATATTTAGTAGATCCTACATTTACCAATAATATTTATACCTTGACAATATTATAAACAATTGTAAGCCTGAATTACTAATTTAATAAGGATGCTGCTGGTAAAATAATAATCATAATAATCATTATTGCAGACGATGGGTCACAATAACGTGGCTGAAGATATGAAGACTACACCACACACCAGATGATGAAATGATGTTTTGTCCGTCCTGGACCATTATCAAGTCAATTGTGATGGGAGCAAGGGAGGCATGGGCATTAAGCCAAGAGAAGGGTGAGGAGGAGGAAATTCCTAGAGAAAGATGCACCAGCAGCATTAGAAGTTCCTCCTGCCTCTAATGACAGACTTAAAAGAACATGAAGTGTTAAGCCTGCAGACAAACAAAGCTCTCTTCTATCATGTTAGGGATTCTAATCATCCTATTGATTGGTCTTCTTCTAAAATAATATTTCCAGTCTACTCTTCACAGATGCCATCTTGTTGAATTGGCTCTGATACACAACACCTCAATATGAACTTTAGTCCTGGCTTTATTGCTGTTGACTCTTCCCTTTCACAGTACATACTCAAATGATCTAGCCTTTCTAACAAATGTGACCTAACATAAGCCTACCCATCTTTTTCTCTTTCTTTTTCTTTCTCCTCTGATTCTTACATTCTCATTCCTATACCAATTATTGCCCCTTCTTACACCTCTATTACACACACCCCATCTGTACCTTTTGCCTTGCTCTTACTTTCCTCTAGGAATTTCTAAATCTCTTTTGGCTTACTTAATGCCCGTGCCTCCCTCGCTACCATCACAATTGACTTGACAATGGGCCAGGACAGACTGAAATGTCATCGTTTCCTCATCTTCTGGTGTGTGATGTAGTCATTATAATCATTGTTATTTATATAATACAATTAGAACATGTTACAGTGATTAATTTATGGTTTCATTAGTTTTATAAAGTATTATAAAATCCATGAAAAAAGTTAAAGCTTGGCTTTACCCATATTCTTTAAATGTATAGTTATTTTGGTTATTAATTTTATGTCCTAGATATGTTAAAAATTTAAATGTTTTTGTATCAAGAAAGATTGAAATACAAGCTCCAATTTCAATACTTTATTCTTAAAGTAAGTAATTATCAAAAGGCACCAAACCGGGAAGGCTATGTAGCACCATCAAACGTGCGGAATAATCAGAGGGCACTAAATTTCACCAAGCATGTCAAGCAGGAAGGGCAGAAACCAGGGAGTGCACCTCAGCAAGGGCAGCAACCGAGAGGGAAGCAAGGGGGGGGGGGGCAAAGAGACCTCCATAGCAGGAACAGGGGGCGGAACCACCAAAACGGGTGGGGATGGAGCGAGAGTAGGGGGCGATGAAGAAAGCGAAGCCTTCTTACCTGCCAGGGAAGAAGAAAGGAGAGGAGCCATGCTTATACTTCTGACTCAAAGAGACAGGCGTCCCAGCAACAATGTACTGGGCAACAGATTCTAGCGTCTCAACAGGAGAAGTGGAACGAGAGCAAACACGACGGCCGTTGGGAGAGCAATGGAAGGAGGATCGGAGGGAGACGAAGAAGACACAGGAGACACAACAGACTGGGAAGAAAGAAGGGGAACCCCAGACAGAGGCAGGAGGGGGGACCCTCCGGGACAGAACGCAAAGGAACAGAGGAGGCGGTGGAAGTGTCTGGGTCTAAGGCCTGGAAAGAGTTGTGAGACTGAGGAAGTCAGGAAGGACGAGGAGAGGAAGAGCGCACCATGCGAACATAAGAGATGCTAGCATAACGGGGGAGACGGCAAACTTGGCGCCTCACCTCAGGAAAAGACAAACGTTCCCGGTGCTTCAGCATGAGGATGGCTGCCTCAAGCTTGTAATGTATACACACGCGGGAGAAGGTAGGGTGGGCCTCACCACAATTAAGGCAGCGAGCCTGGGGAGAAGTGCACTCC